CTCAATGACAATTGATCAAAAACCGGATTAGGGGGGAATATACTATACCATGATGGTCTTTCCCCTAAAGCCTTTAATTCGAGAAGATTTGTAGTGTTTTTATTTATCGTTATCGAGAGAAACCGTGCGTCAGGCGTCTTCGTAAAGAAACAATCATTCTTTCACACAACGAGAACATAATCAACTCCCATTGGCTGATCTGTCACCATAGTCAACTCCAATTGGCTGATCTGTCACCATAGTCAATTCCAATTGGCTGAAAGTTAAAGTTGTGGAAAATTGATTAAAGTCCCCTACTAGAAGCAGTTATTAGACATACATTTTACACCAAGTCAAAGCGTGCATCTCGGGTTACATTACGTAAAGCAGCACCACATGTAACATAATTGAAATCCCTCTATCGCACGTAATGAAACTTATCCATCTCGGTTACTCACGTGGGTGGGAGTTAAGTGGGAAATAACTGCTAATAAACGACCTTATAACGCAAGATTTGTTATTCTTATTTAATTTCTTCAGCAGCGTTCCACTAAAACACTTGTACACATCAATATGAACTACAGAAATTGAATAAGGCCGTCATTGAGAGACACTAATATCCCCCCCCCCCCGCCTAATCGAGAAGCCGAAAAGGGAGTTTTTTTTTTTGCGAAATACTGTCCGGCGCTTATTAATGAAGTATTTTACGTATAAACTGACTTAAATGTATTCTCTATCATTTTTTTTATAACAATTGCAATTTAGCTACGTGTAGTCTCTGCCTGATTTAAAAACTGACCAACACGGAATTTTGTACACTCTGTAATTTTATAAAACTAAATTCCCAACACCTAATGTTTCTTCGCCTTAATTTTAAATCAGCAGAATAACCAACGCTGTATTTCTGGTTTTCAAAGACAAGCGAGAATTTGAAAGAAGCAAAGTTTTACTGTATTCATCGCTATTATTCCAAATCATAGAATCCTCGATATTAGATAAGTAGGCCTAAACGATTTGATTCAAACTTTAAATTTTAAATATTAATTGTCATGACCGTAGGACTATTTCTATTCAGTCTGGAGTGAACTAAATATCGTGATAGGGGGCGCTGTCTGCAGAGTAGATATTTTTCACAAGATCCCTACGCAATTATAGCGAACACTTAGATTCTAGGTTGCAGTGGTTCGGTGGTAAGATCGAGGGCGTATAACGCTAAAATTCGGGGGTCGATTCATGCGGTGGTCACACTGCAGATAGCCCATTCTTCATGGGTTACATGGTATACTTAGTTTGTTAGAGAAACGGATTTTGTGAACGACTAGATTCTGGATAATAGGGATCTATGGATTTTGTGTGCGAACATAATCCTTGGCCACTATATTTCTTTGAACGCAAAGTATACGCTTCAACAATCGTGTTGAATATGTAATCCAATTAAGTAACTAGGGATTCAACTTATGAAACCCTAAGCTCCTTGTCCTGTGTCCAGCTATGGTTAGAATGATGATCCATGTCCTGTGTCCAACTATGGCTAGAATGATGATCCTTGTCCTGTGTCCAGCTATGGTTAGAATGATGATCCATGTCCTGTGTCCAACTATGGCTAGAATGATGATCCTTGTCCTGTGTCCAGCTATGGTTAGAATGATGATCCATGTCCTGTGTCCAACTATGGCTAG